TGATAACTGGGAGTTCAGCTGTGTGTCGCATGTTTCCAGCGACTTCCGCTGATAACTGGGAGTTCAGCTGTGTGTCACGTTTCCATTGACTTCAGCTGATAACTGAGAGTTCAGCTGTGTGTCACATGTTTCCAGTGACTTCAGCTGATAACTGAGAGTTCATCTGTGTGTCTCATGTTTCCAGTGACTTCAGCTGATAACTGGGAGCTCAGCTGTGTGTCACATGTTTCCAGCGACTTCAGCTGATAACTGGGAGTTCAAGCTGTGTGTCACATTTCCAGCGACTTCAGCTGATAACTGGGAGTTCAGCTGCGTGTCACGTTTCCATTGACTTCAGCTGATAACTGAGAGTTCAGCTGTGTGTCACATGTTTCCAGTGACTTCAGCTGATAACTGAGAGTTCATCTGTGTGTCTCATGTTTCCAGTGACTTCAGCTGATAACTGGGAGCTCAGCTGTGTGTCACATGTTTCCAGCGACTTCAGCTGATAACTGGGAGTTCAAGCTGTGTGTCACATGTTTCCAGCAACTTCAGATGATAACTGGGAGTTCAAGCTGTGTGTCACATGTTTCCAGCGACTTCAGCTGATAACTGGGAGTTCAGCTGTGTGTCACATGTTTCCATTGACTTCAGCTGATATCTGAGTTCAAGCTGTGTGTCACATGTTTCCATTGACTTCAGCTGATAACTGGGAGTTCAGCTGTGTGTCACATGTTTCCAGCGACTTCAGCTGATGACTGGGAGTTCCAGCTGTGTGTCACATGTTTCCAGCGACTTCAGCTGATAACTGGGAGTTCAGCTGTGTGTCACGTTTCCATTGACTTCAGCTGATAACTGAGAGTTCAGCTGTGTGTCACATGTTTCCAGTGACTTCAGCTGATAACTGAGAGTTCAGCTGTGTGTCACATGTTTCCAGTGACTTCAGCTGATAACGGAGCTCAGCTGTGTGTCACATATTTTCAGTGACTTCAGCTGATAACTGGGAGTTCAGCTGTGTGTCACA